TTAGTTAATTAAAATTAATCAGAAAATAAGTTAACAAGAAAAAATAGAATTGTTAAAACCAAAAGCTGATGTTTCAAAAAGACAAATCTTTAAGAAGTCTGACCAAGAAAAATAGAGAAACCATGAACATCAAGAATGAGATAAGAGATTGAGCACAGATGAAATTTGAGGTAGTATAAACTTTAAGGCAGACAACTGAAAATTACAGATGAAATGGGTGATTTTCTAGGAAAAAATAAGTTATGAAAATTGATTTAAGCTGAGGCAGACACATGAGTAAACTAATGACTAAAGACATTGAGGCTAGGTGCGACAGCTCATACCTTTAATCTCATTATGTTTGGAGGCTGAGGTGGAAGGATTGCTTGGGACCAGGAGTTTGAGACCAGCCTGGGCAACCTAGTGAGACCCCATTTCCACCAAAAAAAAAAAAACTAAAAGACACTGAAACAGCCATTACTAAAAGGGAACAAAGGAAAAATGGTTTTAAAAGGCAAATTTTACGTAATCTTCAAATAATATATAATTCTTGCATATATGTTGCTGCTGTGGTTTGATTGTGGCCCCTCTCAAATTCAGGTGTTGCTACTCAATGACTGTGTGATAATGTTGAGAGGAAGGGCCTTTAAGAGGTGATTAGGTCATGAAGTCACCATCTCTCTTGAATGGGATTAGGTACCCTTAAGAAAGGACTTGACAGAGGAAGTTGGTTCTGCTTGCCCTGCTGTCTTCTGCCATGTTATGACAGAGACTCCGGAGAGGATGCAGCAACAAGATGCCATTCTGGAAACAGAGAGCAGCCCTCACCAGACAACTGAACCTGCTGGTGCCTTTGTCTTAGATTCCACTCTCCAAAATTGTGAGAAGATAAATTTTGTTCTTTATATATTACCCAGTGTGTGATATTCTGTTACAGCAACACAAAAAGACTAAAATGATACGTAAATATTTAATATAGTGTGAATAATATTATTTTAGATTATAAGCTTAAGCTTTTAGATTTAAAGCTTAAGCTCATCTGAAAAAATAAGTAAATAAAAATTGCCAAAACAATTTTTAATAAGGCAGTTAGGACTCTATTAAATATCAGAACTTAGTACAAAGCTACAGTGATTAAAATACCATAGTATTTACTCAGGAATAAACAGACTGGGGGACAGAATTGAGTTTCTAAACAGACCTACGTATATATGGGGACTTAGTATCAAGTAAGGCAATTGGATCCGTGGGGAAATGATTATTTATTTATTAAGTTGTGTTAGGACAATTGACTATTCATTGTAGGGGGCAGATCTCTACACAGTACACAAAAAGAAGTGGTAGAAGGATTAAAGAGCTGAGTTAGACAAAAAATATAAGAAGACCAGAGAAAAGTAGTCTAAGAGTATTTTCATAATCTTAGCATGAGGAAAAAAATTCTGAAGCAAGACATATAATCAGAAACTGTAAAGAAAAAAAATTAGATCCAAGAACTTAAAAAACCACAAAGAACTCATCTGTGTGACGAGGTGCAAAGTTAAAAGGCAATGACAGGACAGAAGGAAAATATTTGCAAAATATATAACAGAGTAGACATAACAACTACTATAAATTAACAAGTGAAAGACCAAGAAATCAGAAGTAAAGCAGAGAAATACGAAAAGCAATTTACTGAAGAAGGAACACAGAAAACTATGTGAAAAGATGCTCTACTTTGCTAGAGGACATAAAATGACTATCGTGTGTCAAGCATTGCTTATTTTATCTTTCACAGTCCTTTGAAGTAAGTATTATTGAGTTCATTTAACAAGTGAGAAAATTGAGTCTTAGAATTAATAACTTGCTGGTGGACATTATCTCAAATATTGCAACTTAGCAAAGTAGTGAAATGTTTCTTCTATTATTTTAAAACCTTTTCTGTAGTCTCTAATCCACAATTATCTTTAACATAAATTTTATTTTCAGAATACACTTGAAGGTGTTCATTTAGTACAATCCCTTGAAGAGAGAGGGCAAGAAAAGAAATGTAGTCTACATTCTTGATCATGTGACCCTCTAATAGATTAAGCTGTCAGGACACACAGACACACACACTTATATATTTGACTTGAGAAGATAGACATGATAGACATGATTTCTAAGGATGTGTTTCTGTTTTTCTTTGGCAAATACTGTGTGAATCATGTCTCTATATTTTGACTTGCTGAATACTTCTTTTATATGTCTGAACTTGGCTTAGTATTGACTTGTCTTTGAATTGATCCAATTTGTTTTTTTTAAAGCTTAGTAGGGAGTCCATCACCATCCAGTTTATTATTTTGTGAAATACGGTTTTCTTATTTTTTCTTTGATAAGAGAATATTTTCTTCAACAGTGGAATTACTGCTTATTATACACACATATACACACACATAAACATGTATTTCTAAATTTTGTCGATAAGGTTTTTTCTTTTATGATATCAATATTTATTCTTTTAAATTATTTTGACCCTCTTTTTTGTCTTTTTAAGTAGTGTAATGGCTTTCCTTCTGACTTTACAGTGACCAGAACTCATTAGTATTTGATAAATTACATCATACAGATTTCCATGACTTTCTTCAGCTTGTTTCCCTTAACAAATCATGAAAAATATTTTAAATAAAATACGATTCATGATTTGAGTCATTATTTTCTATATTATATGATTCCTCCCATCTCTTTTTTCTGACAATTTCTTACTATCAGTTACTATCAAAGTATGTGAAGTTTTATGCCATGTTTGAGAAAAGAATAGAAACACTGAAAAATTTCAGACATTGTTTAAAAACACTTGTAATTAATTTTGTATGTTTAAAAATTTTAAGGATTACTATTAGAAAGCTAGAAAAGTAATCTGTATCTTCCAAAGCCCAACAGGGGATGAAAAAAGGATCCTAGAAAACTTTTATCAAACAGAAGCAGAAGAGAAGAAAAACAATCAAGGAAAAATGAAAGTGACTAGTAAACACAAAATAATATGTTAGAAATAACTCTAGTCACTAAGAAACACAAAATAATGTGCTAGAGCCGGGCGCAGTGGCTCAAGCTTGTAATCTCAGCACTTTGGGAGGCTGAGGTGAGAGGATTCCTGAGTCTAGGGGTTTGAGACTAGCCTGGGCAACCTGATGGGACCTCATCTCTACAATAAATCAGAAAATTAGCCGGGCATGGTTGGTGCATGCCTGTAGTTCACCTACTTGGAAGGCTGAGACAGAAGGATTGCCTGAGCCCAGCAGGTAGAGGCTGCAGTGACTGTGAGCATGCCACTGCATTCCAGCCTGGGTGGCAGAGTGAGACTCCAACTCAATAATAATAATAATAATAATAATAATAATAATAATAATAATAATATGTTAGAAATAACTCTAGTTACAATAAGATAAACAATAAGTAAATAACTTTTCATCAGATTGTATTTTAAAAATCTGCCTTATGAGAGACATAACCACACATCTTTAAAAAAATAGCAACTCCAAAAGATTAAACATAATAGGAAAGAAAAATGATCCATTAGGAAAATGCCAACTGAAAGAAAAATTTTACATCAAAATAATCAGAAATTAGTAGCTGCATATGGAAAGGCGAGGAGGATGTCAAATGACCCTAAAAGTAGCATTTTCCAAAGCACAGCCTGTGAGAAAACTAATTCTGAGGAGGTTCCCTGAGAAGAAATTTAATGAAAAAATAAGTTAGAGAAGTGATGCATTCTTTATTCTCCCTTGGAAATATTCAAGGTGCATATTTGCATGTTGAAATAAGTTCATAAATTCTTATACATCTGTTTAACTATTTGAACATAAGTCCTTTAATCAATTTGAAGAACTGTTTTTGTATGGGTTGACTTACATTGCTAGGAAGTTATGAAGGTAGCTCTCACATGGCAAGGAACTTGGGTTTCAGTGACTAGAATTGAAACCTTGGTGCTGCTTTCCATTTTTCTGTCTTTGTTATCTGTGTCTGGTATGCTTTGCACATCAACCTCATTATCTTACTATAGGAACTTTTCATGTGAGCCTTTTACATGAAGTTCTGCTTTAGCTTAGTAGAACTCCACTGGTTTTGCTGGATTTTCTTGTCCTCCCAAATGGACTAGTGATTGTTAACATGAGGATACAGTACTCAACTGTCCATTAGTCTTTGGTCAGAGGGGCAGGATTTGTTATCAGGAGGAGGAAGATGGAAAACCTTACTGGCCAGAAACAAAACATAGCTATGAAATTACATCATTGTTAATACTCATTAATATCTATAGAACTAGTGTTCTGGGAGACTAATCTTGGGAAATTCTGCCGTAGGGTTTCTTACCTTAACTGTGGTAATATCTTAACTGAGAGGACATAGGACGAAGATCTAATTTGGCTTTGTTTGAGATAAGAGTAGGAGAACAAATGTTGTTTTAACATGTTGAATTCATTGTGCTTCTTAGGGCCAACATTAACAATTAGCTCGTAGGTAGTTGAAATTTTGACTGTAGACTTGGAACTGACAAGTTTTACTCTGAACAAGCTGGGCTATTGGCTGTGCAAGTGGTTCGGAGGCAGTTTGTGTTAAGGGGTGACGAAGGAGAAGGCCACCATCCATGATAGGTTGATGTTTATGGCTTATTCTTTAAAAAAATAAGAAAGTAGGATAAGAAGTATTCCTTTCTGCTGAGATTAATTCTCATGAAACCAGATAAAGTGTTCTCCTCACTTATATCATCTACATTAAGCACTGCTTGCCTTTATCACATACATCATCTCACAGCTTCTATAAAAGTTTTATTCCAAGTTTTAGCACTTAAAGTTAACCAAAAATATAATAATTTTAAAATTACTTTCCATAGGATTGTCTTTTCTACTTAATAAGGAAACAGTCAAATAGAATCCAAACCCTGTACAAATAGCAGTGTGTCCTTTGTCCTCATGCACATCTGATTAGTTGCCCTTCCTTAAGGTTAAGTTAATGCACCGAAAGAAATGGTCACAAAAGGGCACATATTGGCTTGAGGGCCAGCAAGAATGGCAGAATTGCCCATGATCAACTTGTATGTCAAGTGGCCACCTATGCCCCACACCCCAAAGTATGAGATCCACATTCTCAAGCGATTTCCAAGTGGGTTTCAAGATGGTAATTCCTGATTAGCCAAATATAGCTTATTACACAGCTTCTGTTATTTTCTTGTTTTTTCCAGTTTATTCCTATTTGCTGCCAGGTTATCATCATTTTGCCTTTTGCTTATTCCTCCTCTCTACCCTGTCTTTTTTGTCAGTTATCACTCTTTTTTTACCTATCTTCAAAGTTATGACACAACTACTCATGTGAACAACCAATTCTCTGTAAAATAAAGGGCAGATGATCATTGTGCCTGTTTTTCTTCTCTAGTTAACTGAAAGGGGAGAAGCCCAGAAGGGTATGGAATATGGCAGTAATTGGATTACTTAGAATTTGGTTATTATCCTTGTTTTACTTTGTGATTATTAATACTGAATGAAAGGAATGTATGTGAAATTTATAGGAAAATATCTAACTGCTGTAGCAGAAAATGTTACAAATCGTGTGTCTCCTAAAGAAAGTAAAATAGAAGGACATTAAGATTGTAAGCAGTAGGTCTCTTATTTGGCTTTAAAAATTGATATTTATATTATTTACAAGATGGTATTATTTATAAGATGGTATTATTTACAAGATGGTATTTTCAAAATTATATTATCCAAGGGCATTAAGTAAACTCTCTTTGGGCTCCAGACATTTAGCTTTCAGGAGTCTAGAGTTTTATTGTAAACCAACATTGTTCATCATCTTGATCTGGGGTGAATGTCAGGGAATTACTTTTTCAAGTGATTTTCAAAATGAAACAAAAACAAAACAACCCCCCAACCCTTTCACTCTCTAGTTTACCCTCCCTTTGAAAAGCCTATTCTGCAGTTTTGTCTGATGGCTTCCGCACTGCACTGGCCCTTCTCAAGCCAGCCCAGCTCTATGTGGAACATTCTGTTGCTCTTTCAGCATAAGCAGGTCTATTGTGATATTTATCTGAATTCAAACAAGGCTAATTAAAAGAGCTGCTGACAGTTGTTGTGATCTGACTTTGACTGCAGCTTGATGGTCATTATGGGTAAATAATGAACCAGGTCTGCAAATGTAGCAGCTGCCAACTTGGGATAGAAGAACGGCTATTGCTTCCAATTTAAGGATCTATCGACCACTTCTCTTCTCCCTGCAGATCTTCTGCAGAAAACTAATGTTTTCTGCTGCTGTGTATTGTGGTTTCAGCTGTTTCAAATATAGCCTATAATTTCCTTCTTTAATATTTAACTTAGGACATTATTAGCTTTCAGAGTTAACAACTTTTCTATTTTGAAGAAGTTCAGCTTGTCCTTATGTATGCTGTAACTAGCTAATTATATGCATTTAATTTGTATATTGTGCAGGAAGCAGCTAGTCTATAAGAACAAGGTATAGCTTTATGAAGATTTTTCACAATCATATGTAGGTGCCTTCTTTATAAAAGAGATAGATGCATGTCTCTTGCTTTCGTTTTCTTAAAGATAAATATCTCCTACCAAATCTCAGTTTTGAGTTGTGTTCATCTCGTCAGTGGCTTATGAAATATTTGTTACAAAGCTTTATTTATCAATTCAGAGGAACTGCAGTGACTTTCATTAAAATGCAATGCAGAATATATTGTCACTCCATCATGAGCTTTTTCTTGTCCTATTAGCAAGTAGGAACAGGTGCATTAAGGTAAGAGAGAAGGCAAATTGCATTCATAGATTAATATACTTCTTGCAGATTTCCTATACTTATAAAATACAACTTCTGGATTTAAAAGTCACATTCTAGAATTTAACACAAGTCAGTACTTAACAACACATCCCTAACATTTATTCAACTGCCATAGAAAAGACTTATCTCCATTATGTAAAGTCTGAGGATACAGTGGTGCTTTGTGCATAATGCAGCAGGGCTTTGAGATCTTGCTGGGAGGAAATGATCCCAAACATGCCCCTGAAAGACAAGTCTTATTTTGAAAAATAATGATGAAAAATTGCTTATTTCTCCATGCATTTGTGTCTGTTTATTTCAGGAAAAGCTAACTAAACTTTGTTTATCTGACTCCAGAATAGTGCTGTGAGTGTTTCTGCTTTTCTGTTTCCAGCTTGGATAATGCCAGAAATAGTGTTAACAAGGGGTTATGTTATGCTGGCTTATGTTAAACCAGATCACCCCTAACATGTGCAGAGCCATTCATCTGTGTCACCAAAACCCAAGAGAACATCTGACATGGACTCTGAAACAGAAACAGTGATCACTTACAAATCAAACATGGCACGCTCTAAACTGATTGTACACGGCAATCTTTTCTAGAAAGGACAACTAATTGAACATGATAAAGTGTAAAGTTAATTAACACCCTTAAATTTGTTGATTACTTTCACGGGATTATATTGTTCGTTGAGTAGCAGCTTTCTGTCCCAGCTGTCGCCTTTTTCAGCGAATGTGGCTGGTAAACAATAGAGACACCATAACAAGTCGTAAATGGTCCCTGTGACAGCAGCCCCTTGTGAGGCTGCATCTGTAGAAAATGATTAGAACAATTGCATTTTAAAGATGGCTCACATTGCAGCCCGTGTCCCATTGGTCCTCTTCTTGATCTCTTTTGATGGCAGACTGGTTACAACATTTAAGTTCTTTTGAGTAAATTAAGTGATTTACTACATTTTGCTATATATCAATGAGAGTACTTTGGCAGCAAGGTTTTTACAGTATTAAAGGCAAATATAATTTGATTATAATTTTTGACCTTCCATCTCTTCCCTCTTTGAATTTCAAACCTTCTTTCCGACAGTCATAGAATTGAAAATGATCTCCTTATTTGTGGTCCATGAGTGGTTAGTCTAAGTTATCAGCGTTTGCATCATGGTTTAGAATCACAGTCCTTTGGTTCAGTTTTTCAGTAAGGCTCAGTTCCAAATTTCAGCTCTTTGTTTCTGTTAGGTCAAAGACTTTGACATGTTTAAGCTGTGCACATTTACTTGTTATATTATAGTTTTTGTAACATTTGTGTAATACTTGTATACTTTTCCAATCTATTATTTCATTTGAGCATCAAAGTAAGTATGGTGTTTTTAATCACCATTTTCAGATGAAGAAACCAAGATTGAGATGTGCTATAAGCTACAAGAGATGTGATCTTGTACTGTGATTTTACCCTAAGTCTCTTAACTCAGATCACATTTTTCAATTTTATCTGTTCATAATGTTTCTGTTCATGTGCACTCACGCTCATGAGTGTTTTTGCAGCAATAAGTGTAAATGCCATTACCACATATGGAGAATCATGCTATTCCAAAGTTGAGCTTTTTATTGTTGACAAATAAAAATTGTGTATATTTATTGTGTGCATGTTGTTTTGAAATATGCACACGTGGATTGGCCAAAGTTAACTAGTTAATTAACTCACATATGGTTTGTGTGTGTGTGTGGTGAGGGCACTTCAAATCTACTCTCTTGGCAGTTTTCAAGAATACATTGTTATTAAATAGTTTAGCTTTTTGATAAACTAGAAAATGTTAAGTCTTAATTAGTATTCTTGGTCATTTTATTAGTCATCGATTTCTTCTCTGCCTATCTTCTAAGAAGAAAACATTTATCAGACACATGTGCAGTATGCAAAGATTCAGACTGCTCTTGCCTATAGGAATCATAATATGACACACCAGAAAAATAATTGGAGTAGTATAAGTACTTTATTAGAGATATCACCAAGAATGTTCTAAGAATGGAGAAAAGGGGTCACGAAATACTCCTTAGAGTTGACATGGACTGAGTCTTGAAAGATAATCAGGAGTTAGCCAGGCAAAGAAGGCAGGGAAATGAATTTCATGAGGTAACAATTCAGGATAGGATGCATGAAAAATTTTTGTATATTCTAGCCACTGAAAATAGTTTTCAGTATACATAGAATGATGGTTTTTGTTGCAAGGGGTAGAGGAAACCAGAGAAGTAATTAGAGTTCACTGACAAGAAAAAAAAAATTAAAAGATCAGAAACCATTGCTTTCTACAACTCAAGACAAAAGGAAAGATACAGTGAATTATGTAGTTCTCCTTTTTGCTGTAACATAAGCATAAAAGTACTTCAGAAAGGTTAACTTTTACTTAAGAGGAAAAAATACAGTAAGACTGTGTAAGAAATGCTGAGTAATAGTGATTAATGTTTTTAACTGCTTGTATGTTCATGTTAGTGCATAATTTAAGACTTAAGCTGGTTTTGGTTCTTTTTAAAATTATTTATTTATTTATTTGTTTGTTTTTATTTTAAAGATGGGTACAATTCAGGGTTAGGTATACAAATGGTCATTGTACAGGTAAAACTTGGGCCTTGCTTTGGTCCCCACTTCACCTGGTTTGAGATCAGATAGATAGTTTTGGTTCTTATATCAAATAAAACTGCCTAAAGATTGGGAAGCAGATAATTATTAGAATGAGGTGATTTGTGTTAATTTTTAGCTCTGTTACAAGTTCAAGGCTAAGATTAGCCAGAAAATGATATAAAGCAAGAACTGAGTTCTAATTTTATTTATCACTACTTGTGATATAAAAGTGTGAAGAACATTGTTCATTGCTTCATTTACTGTCTTGTGCATAAAGTTCCAATTGAGAGTTTCAAAAAATATGTAACTCAGTTCAAGGAAAAGGTACACTTTCTTAAGGCTGCTTTGTTCCTCTCCCAAATAGAGTTTGCCAGGACTTGGAAGATTCTCAGATCCATCTCAAATTCATTGTGAGATTTTATGGTTTTGTTTTTAAATGTGTTGATTCTGATTTTGTTTTCTTTCTAAAAATTTACTTTTAAATTGACAATTTACTTTTAAGTTGACAAAAATGTATATATTGTGTGCCACATGATGCTTTGAAATTATGTACATCATAGAATGACTAAATTTAGCTATTTAACATATGTGTTATGTCACATACTTACCTTTTTTTGTGGTGAGAGCACTTAAAATCTACTCTCTTAGCAATTTTCAAGAATATAATACATTGTTATTAACTGTAGGTACCATGTTGTACAATAGATCTCTTAAACTTACTCCTCATTTCTGATTT